GGGTAAGACCAATAACTGTATTATTTCCACACGCAGTATCGGCGATATACTAGTAGTTTTTTTTTCATCTCTGGTACTGTCTGTTTTGTCACATCAGGATTCTGCATGCAAGTGGCATGCATATATCCTACACAATTTAAGATCCCAGGAATCCAAAACTGACCGGAATAAACACACAAAAATAGATCATATCGGAGAATTAAGGCAATGTCAAGGGCATTCGGCGTAGTGCCTTCAATCAGTTACAATACAAGATATTAAAACAAACACGCGTTATGAATGTTTATTCAGTAAGCGTTTAGTAACCGTATACATCCGGTAGCCGTGTGGTGCATAACTTCACGTACATGTGAAATGTCACATTGTTTTTTTCCTTCGAATTTCCATCAGCGAGAAATGCAAATACAAAATACCCGTCTATCTGCCAGTGTACTCTTTTATTCTATACATTGCGATAAACAAATATATTCTTGTTCGCGTACTCTCGGTGCAACAAATGCATTTGCTTCATCTTTCTAAATAAATTTCTGTTTATGAATTCCAAACGCAACGCAACGACGTCATTTAAGAACGTTTCAGTTTTATTCAATCGGCCAATAGAAAATACTCGTTTTATTTTGAATCGCAAAATTTGATAAATACCTTTAATTATATATAGAGCAGTGGGCTTAAAAATCGAAGAAATTATAATTTATGCATGTTCTCTGAATAAATATTTGTTTTAGCATTTTACTTACATACGCATATGCGTTAGGAAATTACGGCCTTGAAAACGGCAAATTTTATCGACGATATAATTATATTTAATAGATGTCATCAGTCGACCAGTCAATTGAGACCAACCAATTAATAACTGTTGACGTGACCAGAGAGCTGCGTCTATCAGATATCTGCCTCTAATCGTGATAGCAAATGACGTAGATGAATAATTAATTATATACTTAATTTGTAACCAAACCCGGAAGTGGAAGAGTGTGGATACCGGGTGGTACTTTGTTTTTCGTTTGTTGTATAAGAAAATGATACAGTATACAATATATATATATTTATTTTAATTGAAATATATGACTGAAAGACAGGCGCCAGCATTTGAATATTCTGCAATGTAAGTTTTCTTTCCATGTATTTGAGCGATGTGATGTGACGTGATGTGACGTGACGTGACGTGACGTGATGTGTTGTGACGTGACGTGACGTGACGTGGTGTGACGTGATGTGATGTGATGTGATGTGATGTGATATGATGTGATGTGACGTGACGTGATGTGACGTGACGTGACGTGTTGTGATGTGATGTAACGTGATGTGACGTGACGTGACGTGACGTGACGTGACGTGACGTGATGTGTTGTGTTGTGACGTGACGTGACGTGACGTGGTGTGACGTGACGTGATGTGATGTGATGTGATGTGATGTGATGTGATGTGATGTGATGTGATGTGACGTGACGTGACGTGTTGTGATGTGATGTGATGCGATGTAACGTGGTGTGATGTGACGTGGTGTGATGTGGTGCCATCATGTCATAAGATTCAGTGTCATGCGATTCGATGTAGCGCGACGTGTTGTGATGTTGTTCAATGTGATGCAATGCCATGTGTAATTTGGTTAGACGTGATATAGTGCTCTATGGTGTCATGTAATGACTGTATTGTGTGGTAATGCTATGCAATTTCATGCAAAAATATAAATAAATATCGCTTTGCTTTCCTTGTATACATTAAACTATACAATCTTTCACGCAGTGCTCACTTCTCTCTACACGCGAATAATGCGTGGCGCATGCAATTTTGACTGATATATTAGACTGAACTTTTAAAGTCTTATCCATGTGTCACGGTGGTGACTAACAGTATTGTGAACATGGAATTAAAATTTGAACGTTATCACAACATCAACTGACTTGTGATCAGAACGGGGTAACTCAGCGTATATTTTTAGATGAAGTCATCATTAGTAGTTTTAAAAAGTTAATCACGAGTCACCCCGGGGACTCCGCGTTTAGAAAATCATTAAGTTTGGTTTCACGGGCAGGATACTTGATGTGTGGCAGGTATTATTTTATCACTTTGATAACACTTCCTCCCAGGGACACTGCGTATTAGCGGTTCTGCCGAAGATGTTGGGAGCAAACACAGTCAGCAGGCGTACAAGTGATAATAAACCAAACGCGAAAAAATGTGTGTGAAAAAAAAACAGTTTCTCAAAAACGTTTCTTTATTTAGTTTCAAGCCGTAATCAAGATGGCTGCCCCCATATAGTAGACATCGTTAAAATAATCGCATTTATTTTATTATCACGTGTACACTAGCTGACTGTTGGCGCAAACCCACATTCAGGTGTAGTTGTCAATTTTGCGTGAATTGTGTCATTATGATTGTGTAAGCAATATATGACTGCTTGGCGGACCATGTGAAATGAACAATATCGATTGCTTGGCGCTGCATTATAGCATATGCGGGTACGCTCAATTTTGTGTGTATATTGTTAGCATAAATTAAGCACAATAACGAACGTTTTTTTTCAGTAGGTAGGTGTTTTATTGGTTTTAATACAAACATAGAATTTTCATATTCTATAAGTAAATAAATCACACAAAACAGTATTATACAAAAATTGACGATGAAAGTAATTGTTCAAATCAATCGAAATATCACCAGACCAGTGAAATAGTACAAAGGTAAACTAAATCTGACGGAACGCATAAACTGATTAATTTAAATTTGAATGGAAATTCTGGGATGCATGCCGCCTTCTATCGGCTTGGTGGTCGTGTACAACAATCACGCCCTCTGAGACAACATTTCATTATACACTTGATCTCGAATTTCATCATATCGGAAAACGAATATAAACATTTTGTCAATACTGCATCATCATCTAAGACATGTGCTAAACGGACGAGTTGTTCGGATATTGTGGGCCCGTCTTGTCTGTTAAAAGGATCATCATTGAATATGGATGAAAAACGCGATCTTTTATTTATTTAAATAGTGTGCGTATAGATACCAGTTTGAAGTGGGTGTGAAAATGCCCAATCGAAACGTTGTCAATGACAGCTGTCAAAGAACAAAATGTTCATATATATGCCTTTTTCATTGAATTAGAATAGTGTTAGTCTTAATGAAAAGATAGACGTGATCACTTAGAATAAACTACGAATCTTTAGTCAATACGAAGCTACTTACAAAATTGTACCTGATTGGCTAGCTAACCCTAACACTTAACAGTCAGACCAACCAGGAAGCAGCTTTTTTATTGACAGTTTTTTTTTTCGGCTTATAAAATTCTACCTTGTAACAAAGCTTTGACTCAACTGGAAATCTTGGACGAATTGTACATACTTCCTTGAGTTAGTGAGTAATTTAATGGCTGTGATGAACGATATGTTTGAAATGTAATCGTACAAATCACTTGCAGAAATGTAGAAGTAGCACTTAGAAACTCCCTCTCTCCTTCGCGTCAGTGCCAAGTATTTTTCTAAGTTTTTTTATTTTTTTTTGGCAATTATATACTAATTACTAATATGTTATTTGTTGATGTTAGAGGCAGGTACAGTCAGATAACGCTATTTTATATTCGGTCGAAAGTCAAAGAGGTTCATTAATGCATATAAATACTCAAGACGGTTGAACGTATCGATATTTAGATGTAATTATGTAACAAGACAATGTGTCGTCACGTGACCCGAGTTTGTGAAAGTAACTATAACCGGTGTGAAATGCATTGATAACCAGAAGACCTTAGATGTAAATGGCCGCCGAGATTTCGCTGAGAACGAGAGAGCCACGATAGATGTGTTTGCCCTTCAAAAAATAGTGTTCCCATTCTCTCCCCGCATCGCTCCTTAGGTGACCTGTGCATCCTTGGTATTTGGAGCAGTCGCGGTGAGCGCGATGGCGTGAGAGAATGAATCACAACCCAGAATGCATTTGACGACTACGCATGGTGAAATATATAAGTGTGGGCAGGGATTACTTTTATATGATTACTTTTAACAGATTTTTCCTCAGCCAATATTTCTAAATGTACGAGTCACAGAATGATGTATATTTCCAACATTGTATTGAATATACAATGTTTAAGCCAATATTCACGTTATATTACGCACGAATTCAAAATTCGTCTGCAAGGTTATTGATCACAGGTATACAATTAATGCAGATTTATTCCAAGGGGTAATCCTTAAAATGTCGATGTATATATCCAAGTTAGGTATCTATCAGAAATCCAATCCCCGGAAGCAGATAATGATCAGTATACCAGCAACATTAGGTAATCCATATTATCTGTCACAATCAGATTTATGGTTGTCCAAGTAACGACAGTTAAGGTTTTCTACTCCGGCCGGGTAACAGTAGTCTCGGTTAGGAAATCCGATCAACAATTTCATACCCGAAAGTGGTGTGTATCATCTGATTAGTTTGTACTAAGTGACAACCAACTAAATCCGATGAACATGTGGAGTACTCCCTCCTCGGGCATTGTTTTACGTTTATCGAGAAATTCTGTTGAGATCGACGACGGTGGCGTCCTCATATATGTTGTTGCCGCGATGGTATGATCCTGATAACGAGTAGACCACTAGTAATAGTGATATGCTACGCGTCTCAGAGTTTTTTAGTATTTGCATGTGCGGGCATTTCCTGTCTCCGTGGTAAAACAACGAGGTTGGTCTGGCGATGAAACACAACGAACACACACACAAATGAAAAAAAACGCACATTTTAAGTTACGAGAAACGCAAATAATTCTCCGTAGAATGTGATGATGAAGAAAACTGATTACAAACGTTTTTACTCCAGGCAAATCGTCGTAAGGAAACTGCCGTAAAATCCACGATCCTGCGCAGTACAACTTCGGATATTCAAATCAATATTATGACGTCATAAACATCGCACAATAACAACAACAAAAAACGACGTTGCAAACAAGAATAATCACTCGTTTTCTATCGTCTTTAAATTTGCATATTAATATTTATGTGTGCACTGTTTCTATTTTCCGGAAGTCTTCTTTTTCCAAATGGACACTTGTCCAGTAGTGTAATAATGAAAACGTCGCCTAAGACTGCATGCTGGGAAGACAGAAATTTATTGCCGTCATCAATATCGTCGTCAAACTGTTGTTTCACGGTCCACGACTTCGCTACTGTCACTGTCGTCACTAAGTTCGGCCTGAAGTTCTTCCATGCGACTTCTCCGGACATGGTTATGCCTAAAAGAGTTAATGTTCCGACTAATGTCCTCGAGACTGTACATGCTACTTGAAGCGACTGGACCCCTTTCAGACGGAGGAAGAGGGCCGTTACTCCTGAAAATCAACAAAAGCATGATTAGATTTTGTCTTAAGGTAAATTGTAGTGAAATAAACATAAACATGTTAAAATATCGGAGCCGGCGGCACGAAATTTTACGTGGAGGGGCGAGATTTGCTCACTAACCTTCCGCCCAAAGCGCGACCTTACTAGGGGTCCGGGGCATTCCCCCCTTAAAAATTGAAATCCCTCTGAAACGCTATTTCCTGCATGTGAGTGGCAAATTTTGCTGACACAAAAAGTTTCAGCTTGATTTTGGAGGAGCGACGCCCCCTAAACTTTTCGAGTGGGCGACCGCCCCTCTGAATATCGACGCAATATGTAAGCTATATATGACTTTTATTTCTATTTCACTCCTTACTGTTTGTTACTCAATTTAGAGTGTTTATCAGCAGTTTTCCATAGTGTTCATCTTATAAAATACACCGTATCAAACATTAGACAAATCCTGGCATGACGGGTATTGCGCCCCCACCGATGTGTTCACTCGTAGTTTCCTTCTGAGTAAAATCCATCGGCGAGGGCGCAATAACTATTGCCGACCATATGAAAGTCAGATTAACATTAGGCATTGGAATTCTTACGATTGCCAGTTGAGCAAGTCTTCGAGTTGATGTACTCTGTTTAATGCCTCCTCTAATTCATCGTGGAGTTTCCTACAATGCCTGTTACCACAAGTGCTGTGCATGCCGTGGTGTCGGTACATCCTATCTGCCATCGCCTGTAAATATAAGACACATTGCGTTAATGTCCATGCACCATCTCGTACTGTTATTTACGCGAATACTAGTATTCGAATACTCTCCGGAAAGGAAACAAATAAATTGGTAAAATTTAGCAACAATCACTACGTGAGCGCAGATTTGTTTTCCATACGGGAACCGTGAGTTATTTCACCTACGCTCGGCGACTTTGTTTTTTCGTTATAATAACATGACAATGATTATCCTCACTCCAAACTGATGTCGACATTACATGATATAGTAGGAGTCTGTTCCTGTATTCATAATATGCTTGCTATGTTCACCATGGCACATATTTGGACTGGGTAATCGCTCCTATCCTGACCGTGGTAATCCCCGGCTGGGTGGCGACATACGAGCCCGACATAATCCAACTCAACATAAGTTTTGTCACATGTACCATTTCATCATTACCTGCGCAACTAGAGAAACTAGTTCCCTCTTCTTGACTTTCTTCTTGAACCTTTCTCTGAGGCGTTTGTAGAAATAGTGCTCAGCGAAAAAGACAAACACGCTGACAATGCAACCACCCAGTAATAGGAGGAACACTCCCGATGAATGTACTATACCGAGAGGTTGTCGCTTGTTCTCCCTTTTATCGTTACATACATTCGTCATCCATTTATCGGCAATTCCCTGAAGAAATCCTGCAATCGATCGACACAGAATGACTGATTAAAAACGCTTACGAAAACCAACATACAAGAATCAGCTGGGAGGTATCGGATAGTATGGTCGGTAGTACTCGGACTGCCATTTGACAATAATAATAATAAAACAATATACACACAAGCTGTTTATTTTCTTTTATGTACTAACTAGCCTATATGCACCATCTCGCATCTCGAAAAACATTTGGTACCAAAACAAGCAAACAAAAATGTGAATTCCACATTATGAGAAGAATTTGAGGTGAAAATTCACCATCCAATTTGCAAACTAATTGATTTTCACGTGTTCAAAACTGCATCTTATGTGGCTGCTGATTGGTCCACATTTTCTTCTCAGTGTTGATAGCTCGTGGTGGTAGTAAGAAATACCAACATTAATTAATGACGGTGACCTAATTGATTTGCATCTTGCATGCATAGACCATGCTTCAGTCATGTACATTATCCCTAAGTAGGCATAATTTCAGTTATATAAGTCTGAGATGAAATCCTCTAAAATGCACACGGCTCACGGTGTACGTCGTCCCATAAAGCTACCAAGAGATGCGCACGGTGTTCGTAGTCCGTATCACCAAGATAGCGAAATACAGTCAGAAACAACGTTGTATTGAGGAGCAGTGTGACACGTGTCATGCTATCAAATCACAACATCAACAGCAAATCTGAAACTATTACGTGATTCGCATGATATTTGCTCACAACTAAAAATTATAACTCCTTTTAACACTGACCTCTCATTGGTCAATCAAACAAGGATATACGTTAAATAATGGCTTCGACTACATCTCGCACATTTTTACGCCCACCCCCGTCCTTGCCCTATTATCAGTGTCGATTTTATTCCCAGCTAAATAATATTCAACGGGATCATGTAGCTGTCACAAACCAAGAAGGGTATTAACCTGGTAAAATGACAGCCTCGCCAAACAACATTCCAAACAGAAATTATATACGCTATAAAACCATGGTACTTATGCCATCGTGTTATGATTTCACGTTGGAGGCGTAAACACCGTGCTCAACAATAGAGGGCATTAATAACATAAACAATAGTGTGATATATTTGCCGACGTTGGAGGTTGTTGGTATGTTTACTGATATTCAACATGTTATCACTGACCTGTATCTATATATTTTAAAATTTGTCTGTTGATTGGCTCTTTCCAATGCGATCCCTTCGTCATCGCCATGATATAACCTGAGTGCGCCACCGTATCTCCAACCACCCGTAATTCGCAATCTTTGTCTTTCGCCGCTTGATGGCGCAACATAGCAGCTCCGTAAATGAACGCATCCAGCTCTCTTCGGAGATAAAATAGTATATATATAAGGATCATTTCTCAAGAATATTTTAAAATTTGTTGTATGCTGTTCTCTATATTTTTATCAGTGTCGATGCTGCGTACTTTCGTACAGTGAAGTAAAGTATATCAGAAGTCATTGGTTTGCTGTATAATGGCTGGATATAATGTGAGTGCGTGGTATATAGTTGGGAATGCTTGACAGGACCGTATACTAACCTTTCTATCATGATAGTGTCATGGCTTGTCATCAATCAGACCCAATGGAACAAAAAAATACTAGCATGCAGACCGTACCCCTGCCCCTCGCATAAGTTTATTTTATGAATGAATCTCAGTTTACATGGCCTGGTCTTCTACGCCCTAGGTAGTGTGCCTTAACCACAGGGAGGCTATGAACTAGGGAGGCTCGAGCTACAAAACAGTGACGCGGTGCAGTCGCTGCTACGCTATCTCTGACCGACATTTATATCTACTTGTACCCCATCAATACAATACAATACTTACCCATTTTTCAATTTCTTTACTGCGGCAGAGGCATTACTAACAGCAAACTGTTTCATGTAGGTAGCCATCTCGTCGTTGGTTCTCTCTATATAATCTTCCACCATCGTGTCCGTTACAGTAGCGTACCTCAGAGACGGTTTAAAATCTAATGGACGCAATATCTATATGAACAAAATAGAGTTGAATTAAGTTGAATACCGCCCTCAACGTGTGCCACCTAATCCTTGAACCGCACAACTACTGGTAAATAACAACGGCCAGGAGGCAAAAAAAAAAAAAAATCGGTGTGAAACTTACTTTGGGATCGGTGAAACCGGAAATGATGTCATGTCTTTTCTCTTGAATCAAGTGCGCCACCAGGTTGGCCGTGTACATGGCAATAAAAATTAAGCAGAAGCATCCCCACATGTTGGTCATAAACTTCGCTGTGTAACTTTTAGGTGGTTTCAATGGAACTGTATTATTAAATAGTAACGCCCATACAATCCAAAAAGAGCTCCCTAATGTGAATCTTGAGGCTAGAAATGGGGAAATATAATCAATGTTAATGATGTGAATTTGTCATATTTGAATTCATTCAGAAATAACCACATCAATGTAGTGACGCCGTACAAATAACACAATATTACTCTTAGACAGAGCACACAAATCAGACGTTTTGTATTTTGTAATAGTGTGGTGTGACCCGGTGACACATGAGCATGGACAAATGACTTTCAGTTTAATTAGTAAGCTTGCATATGTTTTGAGTAAATTCATCTACCAGTTTAGCTTAAACATTTTGTGACAAGAAAAACATATATATTTATTATCTCTCTACAACATTTATACTCACGCCTTGGTTCCCATATATTTCTGTCGTAGCCACCAGGACTCAAACATTCAAACATAAATATAACAATAGCAACCAAGTTGACGGTGAAGAGAGTTAGAAAACACCAAACGCCATAATCAAATGGAGCTGAAATTTGGAAACAGAAGCAAAGAATAAATCTGTCACTCATTTGTAGTGGAGAGGAACATCGGTGAATGTCCCACGTGATGGTGCATTTCAATCAACCCGCGACGAAATTGTACACAAAGACCGTGGATCTTCCAGTATGTAATATAATCATTTGATAGAGCAACGGCAATACATTTCCAGGACGTAACGGGTGAAAGGAATGCCTTTCACAGCCTTGAAAGTTGTTTGGAGATCTACTATATTCTAAAAAGTGAGTACACAACCGAACAAACTTATCGTTTGAAGCGATTTCCTTCTCAGCTTTTACGTATTCATCGTTGTTTACGTCACAGAAACGTTTTGAGCGTTACACTTTATTATTAGAGACTCGAGTCTGAAATCAATCGGCTACTAGGCCACTACGCAAATAGAAGAGCGGGATTACCACCACTAGCGGTGATCATCGATTAAATCAACTTAAATACCCACCGAGGAAAGCATCAGAAGGAACAATTCCTTCGGATTTCTTCGTCATTATGCTGATGCCCGTTTCCATGAAAGCTACGGAAAGGTCGACGACTTCGGCACGCGCTTTTGTAGCTTGCATAGATGCGATTGCTGCGTCCGCCTTTCCGTCCATCACTTCTCCGATCATGCCGTTCCAACTGCCATTACCTTTCGGAGATCCGAAACTAAAGTCGTCTACCACATGCAGCTCGAAATTGAATTCCAGATCCTTGGAGAGCTGTTCCAGGATATCAACGCACAGTCCGACGCAGCATTGGTAGAAATAGTCTCTGTTTTATGAAACATATAATATTTATAAATGTATTAAGCAATATAAGTTTGAACTGTCAATCAAATGATAAACAACATAGACAACATCGGGGAATCAATATATATTATTATTTACGAAAGATATTCATGTAGCTTCCGACTAATTCAAAATTATTGTCAGATTGGAAAATGTTGTTAGCGCTGCTGTACATTTCACTAATTCTTAAACTAGCTAGCAAATTAAAACACGATATTTCAAGGGGAAGAAAATCAAAGTTTAATCAAAGGCATAATGAAACGGATTTAGTTTCACCTCCTCCAGGGATGATACTTCAATTTGTTTTTCCGACAGGATTAACAAGAATTTCCCAGCTGAAGTCAAAATCACATCATGAACACCGCTGTTCTGTGCAATTAATTTTATCGTGTAACAATTTGCTTTGTTTTCATCCCTCAGAGAGACCACGGGACTTAACAGCGGATAATTGTCTTTCGTCGGTACTCAATTGTCAGAATTGAAACATACCATATTTGTGATATGAACTTTGTGATTGACGAAATATGCCGTGAAAACGTCAGGCATAACCCTTTTTATAAACGGACAATAGAGCCAATTTCTTGGTATGGTTATCATTGTACATCAGCGCGGTGTTTATTTAAAAAAAAGTATACACATACAAATGTGTATATTACTCAATATAATTTCCTTCACAGTTTTTATAATTTAAAATGCGCGGACCTTCGATATTTGCACTTGCAGTTAATTACACCCCTTTCCCTAACTGACTGAGTCGCGGCGTGGTTCATCGTTATTGTGCTCTTGTTGACGGTCTACATAGTTACATATCTCACTTTGATTACAGCGGCATTACGTCGATATCGACACTGTTGAAGGAAATGCGACATGTATTATGAAGTCTAATCCACGTGCTGTTACCCCGAACGGAGATGAAATCGATGAAGATGATGGCGGCGATAAGAGCACGTGTCCGGTGTGTGAATGGGTCCGCTGTCGTCAATATCACTCAGGCTTAATTGTATGTACTTGACAATCATTTCAACAACAGCAAATCGTTGAGCGCCCGTGAAGTTGGATTCACATCAGAGGGAACTCGCTAATACCAGTTTAGATGTGACCAGAATGCGTTTTTTTAAAATCGACATTGTATTCAGAGCATATTTAACATACACATACTCTTCCATGAGACAGTTAATTTATGCCGCTTAATTTGAAAATAGTTGTAGTAAGTTTGAGAAAAAAATTGAGATTTTAGACACAAAAGTAGACATAGAATAGAATAGAATAGAATAGAATAGAATGGAATAGAATAGAATAGAATAGAATAGAATAGAATAGAATAGAATAGAATAGAATAGAATAGAATAGAATAGAATAGAATTTGGTATGACCTGGTTAGGCTTGTTTGCTGACTAACGATTCATTAGTCTGATGTGGGGTCCAGCAAAAATAAAACGGGTATCATCAATTATGAACGACATTAAGATCTACTCAAAGACGTACCCTGGCAAGGCCCCTCAACTCGCTGTTTACAGCACGTGGCGATCTACATCAATGAGCCGAATTGTTTCTCGAGTGGTTAAATAACGGTCTGAAGAGCATGCAAACTCTTTTATTAGAGCCGGGGAAATTAACACTCGTTATCTGCGATAGAGTGAGTTGAATGGACAATTATCTTTAGTAAAATGCCCTGGTATCATTTAGATTAGCTCCACAGAGAAGGTTTTTATCTCCTTGCTGATATCCTTATTTAAAACAGCGATATAGTAGTACACTGGTGGGCGAGTGCTTTGGAAATACCGTATACTTTTACTATGTATACAGCTGTCTGATTACCCCCCGGCTGAGAGTCGTACTTGATGGCATGCCGAGATTTTAGGCACTACATTAGCAATGGGAGTTCCTGCTTGGATCTGCTTTCCTAGAAACACTCTGCGTTTGAGATTTGTGTTTGGCAGTATATGTTAGTCCCACTTACAATTCGACCGTTACTTCGTAGCTTGGTTTTTGATAGTATGTACATGTTCGCCCTTTTCAGTTTGGCAATCGCAGGCTGTGACAGATGTCAATTTCCCCACAACGCGCCGTCAATATAACGTGTAATTATTTCCAGAAATGGTGCCACAGCCGGTGTGTCACTGCGTTGTAGACCGTCAGTTTTTGCGAATGCACTTCGCGTGATAAAGCTGTAGCACAGCTCATTGTTTTAATTGATTTGAACAGAAAACTAAGTTATACATATTCATTATTTGTGAAATTGAAGGTAAACCTAGTAAATAGTAAAAAAACAAAAAAAACATCATCGTCCGAATCGCACGGTTTTGCGAGCTCCCCCATGAACTCGTGCGTTTGTGATTCTACCGAAAAAGCGCCGTAGGAATAGTTGGCGGGGCATATGGCAAAGATATAAGGCAAATTCAGCAGGAAGCCGAATCGCGAAGGAGGGCGCATTTCGGCTTGAAAGGTTTTAAAGAATTGTTCAGTCAGTCAGTTGTTCAAATATTGCACGTACAAGTGTAGTTGACACAGCATAATAATTATTTTGAGACTTTGGATAATTATTCGTTCACAGGTCATGTCTATAGGGAGTTTAATTTTATCGTTACCGCATTAATGTTCCCGTAAAGTGAATGATATTTGGACCCCCAGATACCAAGAACGGTGCATCACTTGTTTTTTGCCAAAAAACTTGAGTTGAGTCAAGCTATCGGGTTAAAATTAAGTTAGCAAACATGTAGTAATAGTCTGGTTCAACATGAAAATCAAAAATGGAATACTAATATTAGGACAGGACCATCCATGAATACCGAGCAATGTTGCTGAACGTTACGCTTACCCGGATGTCGTATTTCTTGTTCTGCATTGGAAACCTACGTGACATGTGTCGTCCGTCATTCCAATGTACCTGACGAACGATTCTTCCGCTATCGTCGTCACCCGCATCATTCTATGTTGTGTTAGATCAGCCGGCTTAACCTTGTTGTCGCCAATCCACGTGACGCCATCTACGACAACCTTATCTTTCAAAGCTACACCCACCTACAAAAAAAAAGATGAGAGGTCATCGTAACATATAAAATTGTTATCTTTTTTTCCTAAAGTTGTCGTCTGCTAGTTTCCCGCGCAATGCTTGTCATGCCTATGTGACCAAACTGACATTATAAACTAGACAAATTCAGTCAAGTCTTTTTACTGTCCCGCTTTATAAATGGACAAAGAATAATGATGTGCCTGGCTGCAGAAAATATGAGAACAGAAGCAGAAGCCATCCGCCGTTAGTCCGCCGACGAACCGGGCTTAACATCGCATTTTGTGAATACTCGTTTATATATTAGTTCCAATACATACCAACGTAATGAGATTGTAACTTGTCTATACATACAAGTATAGATCAGAGTGATTAACACTACTTATTCGAAGAAAGCAATTTTATTAGCAATGTACTTAAATTATGAATAATATAAGGAAATAGGTTGTTTTGTTTTCTTAATGCGTACACTGAGAAGCAAAGGGCGTCCATTAAACTTGGAAACAGTTTATCCCCTTTTTATAGATATAAATAATTCTTTGTGACACAGTCAATCATGGACAAAATATTAAGCTGAGGAAAAATTTTACACTTTGTTAGACGACCAAATAATTTCCGCTCTGCTGGTGATATACAACGAATAATGTATAAATTACAAGGCATTGTTGCGTGACCCAGGTTTGGTTTCTATGGTATCTGAATTCGACTGTAGACGAGTTTTACCAGAATATATAACTTCCTTGACGCTATTTTGGATCCAGATTGAACCAACAACTGATTTTGTAGAACATTATCGTCATTAAATGCTTTTTGACACAGGTCACTTCTAACAATACCAGAGCACATGAAATTCTTGATGGAACACATAGTATTTTGATATTGACACATTTCACTCCTGATAATGTTCGATTTCTCTCTTGATACTGGCACATTTCACTCCAGATAGTGGTCTATTTCAATACTAATAGTGGTACATTTGACTTCTTGTAGTGATCAATTTCACCCCTGATAGTGGAATATTTCAATTCTGATAGCGGAACATTTCTCTCATGATAGTGGCCTGTTTCACTCCAGATAGTGGCCCATTTCACTCCAGATAGTGGCCCATTTC